AATCCCTTCAAGGATACTTAAAACCTTTTTTGGAGCTCTAAAAGGTGAAAAGTAATATAAGGGAAGGCTATTGAGCACTGAATTAACAAGTGTAAGTCGACCGCCAAATGACAAGGATTCCGCTTTCCATTTAGAAAGCCTAGCCTTCAATTTATCAATAATAGGACCCTAATTTTTTGCTAGCTTAATATTGGCTCTAACCGGGAGCCCAAGATAAGTAAAAGGAAAGGAGGAGGGTTCGCATTTCAAAATGCTAACAAGTCTTTCAACCTAAATATTATCAACCCCAATATCATACACCTTACTTTTATGTAAATTCACCTTTAAGTCGGACGAGAGGAAGAAGCAACGAAGTAACCTGTTGAGGTTAATAAAATTTATTTCAGGCAATCTCCTATGAAAGCAACATCATCTGCATACATGAGATGAGAAAGAGAGGTACCCCCATTCGGAAGTATAATACCCCGAAAGTAATGAAGATCACTAACTGCTTCCATAGACACTTGAAGACCCTCCATCACGATTATAAAGAGAAAATGGGACAAAGGATCTCATTGCCTAACACCTCTTCTAATATCAAACTCCATGGTAGGAGAACCATTGATCAAAACGGAAGCCCTTCCCGAAGAAAAACAACCCATAATCCATCTTCTCCATTTCCATCTAAACCCCATTTGATCCATAATAGAATACAAAAACTCCCAACTCAAAGAGTCAAAATCTTTGTCAAAATTAACCTTAAAAATCAAGGTCTTATTCTTCACTTTTTTCTACCAAGTATAGACTTCATTTAACAAGAGTGGACCATCCAAAATTAATGATAGTGAGCTTAAAAAGCATGGTGTCATGTTTGTTTTTCAAAAAAAAATATTGGTGTGATTTTTCAAGATAAAGAAGAAAGTAATCAAACATATAATTTTTTCATTCTTAAAATAACTTACAAACTTTGTAACCTGGTAGATGGACAAAGGATCCCAAACATTATTTGCATTGTCCTTTCCAGCTCGAGCCATATCAACTTCAAATGAACTGGAGTTGCTACTTTCGTTGAATGAATCCACTTTGTCCATGAGACACACATTATTATTTTCAACAATGTCTTCACTATTTGAATCTTCTTCCACTTCCCAATTCTCTTATTCAGCCAACAAAATCTTTGATCTAAGATTTTGTTTCTTCAAACTTGCAACCATCCTTTTGTATTTTATCTCAAAGCAGTCATCCTTATGATAAATTGTCTTGACACGATAATCCCATGCGAAGTGACATATATTACCACACTTACATCATTTATCAATGTTAGTATTTTTAGCTTTGTTAGAACGAGTGGATGAATTAAATTCTATATTTTTTAGGTTGCAAGTCTTATGATTTGGTTTGAACTTTCTGAAGTTATTGAGTCCTTTGAACAACTTCACTATGAGGGCTACTTGGGAAGCAAGTTTAGATAAGCGCTTGTATTCATTATTATCTTCTTCATAGTCATCATTATCGGAAAAATCATCATCTTCACGTAGGTCTTCTAACACTTTAGTATTATTGGACATAAGAACAATTGATTTGTCCTTCTTGATTTCCTTTATCTCTCGAACACTTTCCTTTCTTTGAGCTTTTCTTTGTTCATAGTTCTGTAAGTTTTCAAAAAGGCTTGGAAGATTCATCTATTTGATATTTTCGCCATTCATCAGGATATCAGCATGGTGTTCCCAACTCTCATCAAGAAGGTTAAGAACTTATGAACAAGAGCATCATTGTTCTTAATGATGTAGAATTTTATCAAATCATTGATTATACATTTGAAATGATTGAAAGTATTAGCAAGAGATTCGTTCTTATAGTTGAAGAAGTATTCATACTTTTGAATCAAGGTATTTTTCTGATTATTGTGAACTTCAGTTGTTCCTTCATATGTAACTTGCAAAGTTTTAATTATCGCTTTAGCAGAAACACATTTTTCCATCGGGTGATAAGATGATAAAATTCATAAGGGAGCATTGAATAGATGGACACCCTTGCTCTGACATTAATATTTTCCTTCTTCTTTTCTTCTTCAGTCCAGTAATCATACATGCTTAAGATCAAGAAACATATTGCATCGTTGTTTTTTTAAGTCCTAATCTTGGACCACCAAGAGCCTGAGGGATCACATTTGGTTGTCGGGTAGCAAACAAACTGCTGACCGAAAAACTCTCCAAAATCCATATGTGAAAGAATCATGTATCAAAATATTAGCAAACAAAAAAAGTTAAATGTATAATCATGTATTTTACTTTAAAAGTGTATAAAAATCAACCTAGGTTGTACGTCAATTTTTAAGGTTATGTTTCTTTTTGTTCGACATGATGAATAAGCTTATAAATCTTATCGAATACCGTCTCTAGCTAAGAGTATATTTGATCCCATATTACCCCCCCCCCCCCCCCCCCCCCCCGCACACACACACACAAAAAAAAATTTGTGACGCCAAAAAAATACATAATTAATTCCGTAAATAACATTAGTAATAATATTAATAATTTAACGACATGATACATGTTGAAATCATCAAAGTTTGATACCAAACCGAAATACTCCAGCTTCACAAGCCAACGAGGTAACCAAATATTGAACATTTGAACCCTTTCTCCAACAAATATAATAAGCAAACTCGGACCATGTCCTCCTCCGATAACTCATGAAGAGATGTTTCGAAGATATTAATAACATCTTTCAATTTTATCGAGTCAGTCGCCTTAACCCTAGGAAACACACGTAACGGGAAAGTGTGTCCGGAATCCAAGGCAACAATATATTCACCTAACCAGAAATCGGTTACAAAGTAGAATTCCATATTCCCAAACGTCAACTCGTTCTCGTAAATCTCAAAAATCATTTATTGTACTGGGCTTCAAGGATTTGTCATAACTTCTTTGCAGAATACGTAATGTAAAAGCAAATGATCCCCTTCGACCCTGACTGAAATATCTAACAACCTACCAAAACACATCTTTCAGAACATAGCCTCACATGCGGTCGGCCCTGAGTTTAGTAAGAATATACGCAACAATTGCAGGTTTGTAAGATATTACAAGGGTCAATGCATCAAAAACGTCGTCATGCTGCAAAAAAAAAACAAAAAAAATATTTTCAAAACAATTCCAGAATGAAACAGGTCCTTTCTTGTTCAACATTCCGAGCTTTTTCTTTGGATTCTAGAGTAGTTATCTCATTCTGGACATGTCATGTGTTCCGGAATGCATTTTGTATGTTCCGGACTACAAATTTTTAATGTGGAATAATGTAAGGCACTAAAAACTACATAATTTAGGCACATTCAAAGTTTAAAAGTAACATTTTGGACATATTCTTTGTGTTCTGAGCCATGTATTCGTGTTTTAGACTAGTTCTTTGTGTTCTTGACTCACTTATTTACAAATATATTTAGAAATTTAAACAATTAGAAGCAAAGGAGTGAAGAATTTGTCCGTAAAACTTTCAACTCACCAGAATCAGATGGCATATCTTCTTTGTCCACTTAGTCTGTAATATGATGATATTCCAATATGCATTCTGGAATAGCTTGTATGTATTTGGAACCTAATCAGAATGGGGCGGACCGAATAACATCAATCCGAAATGGAGTATGAAATATTTCATTCCGTAAAAAATTGTTATTTTTCAAAAAAAAAAAATCAAACATGTTTATTTTTCAAAACAAAAAAATAATTAGAATAATCAATTTCCCTAAAATATAAAAAATATAATGGTTAAAATGACAAATTGAATGGTTATATAATAGGAAATTGACTTATCAGGGTGATTACCTTTTCATTTTTGTTCACAACTGTGTAACTTCGTGTCTTTTTTTGTATACATCTAGGTAACAAACTTGTTGGAAGTGTTCATATATGACCATTATGACCGATTGTAACAACTACAGCTGATCATAATGGTCATATGTGAACATTTCCAACAAGTTCATTACACATATATGTACAAAAAAAAATTACCTAAATATGAACAAAATGAAAAAGTAATTACCATGATAATTCAATTTTCCTTCTTTTTTATTTTACCTTCTATTTTTGATTTGGTATAAAATTTAACCTAAATGGTAAATATTTTAAAACCACATCATTTTTGTAATATCTTTTTAAAATACACTACTTTTTAAAAATTAAAATATAAATAAAGAAATAAAAACTCCATAATTGACAAGGAAAAAAAACATCATCATTTTATAGAATTTTATTGTTTAAGATATTAAATATAAAAATTAAAATTTATTAGAGACTAAAAATACTAGAGATAGAGACCACTAACATGAAATATAACACAATCATCAATGAAATTTGTTCCACGTATTACAAGAATTTAAAATATAAAAAATAGGAGTAGCTTTTATCGACATCGATAGTATTACTCTTGTCTCGTATATATAGAATTGTTTGATAATTATGCTACCAAAACGGCTCTTAACATGTAAGTGGTCAATTTAAATGCTCATAAATGGTTATAAATATTGTTTTAAGAAAATTTAATTGAATCTATTAATATATATTATGATCAATCGACTTAATAAAAACGGAATTTAACTTATTATGTTAACGAGCTTGTTGGGTAACTTCGTTTTTTTGTATATATATATTTAGATAACAAATTTATTGGAAATGTTCACATATCTAGATAACTTGTTACAATTGGTCATAATGGTCATATATAAATACTTTCGAAAAGTTTATTATCTAAATGTGTAAAAAAATAAAAAAATAAAAAACAAACAAAATTATCTATATATGAACAAAATGAAAAATAATTACCTTAATAAATCAATTTGATCTCTGTCTAAATTATTTTCTTAAAAAACTTTGTTGATCGATTAAAAGAAAGATTTATTTAAGCTCTCTCGTATGATAAATGACAATTTTGTAAAAATCTAGGAACAACTTTTTTTTATATGCAATTGGTTTCTCTGCTCCATTGATTCCCGTGGTGGATTCTTTCTCAAGAACAAATTGCAGATGACGACGCCCTCAACAACCACACCATCACCACCACCACCACCACCATCCACGACCATCACCGCCGCCCAAATCCGACACGCGATCCGTCCATGGTTCAGCGACTTCCTCTCCGTCTCTTCCCTCTCTCTCCCAATCTCCTTCCAGGAACTCTCCCTCCGTATCCAGAAAAACCTATACGCCTTCCGAGCCAATTACCTCCTCATCTCATTACTTATCTTCATGCTAACCCTAATTACCCGCCCAATTACATTAATCTCCTTCCTTGTTATCATTGTCGCTTGGATTTTCCTGGTTAGGGAGGAGCCTTTGGTTGTTTTCGATTTTGAAATCGGCCAACGATTGCTTGTGATTTCGTTGCTCGCGGGTACTGCTTTTGCCCTAGCTGTAACTAGGGTTTGGTGGAACGTTTTTCTGTCGTTCTTGATCTCGATACTTGTTGTTTGCTTGCACGCGATTTTGAGGACCCCTGATGACGCTGATGACATGGAATCGCCATATGGGGCATTGCTATCAGTTGTTGATGACGATGGGCCTGGAAGAGGACCATATACTCTGGTGTGATCTGTTGCCAATCAGGTTAGTGATCTTAGAGATGGGATTTTCAGAAACAATGTACTTGCATTATGTAGATTGATTGCCAATGATATTTGTTAAATACTTACATTTGAATTAGGCAATTAGCAAACCTTTTGGTGTAATTTGTGCCCTGTTTGTCTATCATTTTGCTCTATAAGATTTCATTGACTGCTTGATTTTGGTTGCTTTATTGTATCTTTAATGTTTTTTATTGTAGAAATTTTTACTTTGTTAAGTATATGCCTATCCCACAAAGAAAAACAAGTATCATAGAAAATTGAAAAAAATGCATACATGTCTTTTTCTACAAGCATTAGCTTGTTTCTCTGTTTTTTTTCCTTTGCATTGAGTTTCAATGACTAACCATTAACTAAAACAGCAAATTCAATATGGCTAACTGCAAGAAATAGCAATGTACTTTCATAATTTTACTATTTATAGCATTTTGCTGTCATTTTTTTCAATTACATCGAAAATATACTCAATTGTAATAATGACATACAAATGCAAAGCAATTTGCATTTTTTACTGCTATAAGCCTATAACTGGAAAGATTTTTAAAGCAAGTCCTAATAAGAAGAAGTAGATTGATATAAAAAAATGAAAGTAGGAGGCTATAATACAAAAATAAATGAAGGTACTTTTTTGAAAGTGAATGAAGGTACATTCTAAGAAGTCACCATCTAATTTTGAAATAAAATTATCATTAGTTATGTCAGACCTTAAAGAATGAACAAAATGCAAGAAATAACTATGTACTCTCCTTTTTAAGTCAATATGGAAAAGGTACTTTATTTTTTACCCATGATAACAAAGTCTTTTATCGATAATAGCACTGTCTAATATAAAAGTTGTTAAAATACGATTTAATTTTACCTACAATAGCAAAGTGTCTAAATGTCATTACAAATAATAGCAACTTATAGGTGGCGAAAGGTTAGCATGTTGCTATTATAGGTAAAAAAAAAAATACAAGTACGTTACAGTTATGTATAAAAAATAAAGTACATTGCTATTGTTGAAATTTTTTAAAAAAAAACACTAGTGCCTTGTTGTTATTCCTCGAAATTTTCTCTAAAGGATAACCAAGAAATTAAAATCATTAGATGTGACATGGAAACAAACAACCTAGTTTGGACTATATTAATACTCCTTCCATCAAAATATGAACACAACTTTTGAATGAGACCAAAATCCGAATATACTTTTTTGAATTTTATCCAAAAGGTTCTTAATTTTGTCTTTATTGACACTTAAATTATTTGCCTGATAATCAAATATTTAAGTGTTATAATGTTTTCTTAAAAGATATAGTGCGTCAAAATGCACGATATAATTAGGAAAGTAAAAAAAAATTTGATAATTTTATTCCAAGTAATGAATTGTATATTTTTGTAGATTAAGTTGGATGATTAGTATTATCCTTTCGACTTGGGTATAGAACCATAGAGGAGCCTAATTCACATTTCGATGTTCACGAAATGTGTTTATAAGATAACCAACATCCGAACAAAAAGGCCACTTTTTAAATAGGAAATTTATGATATGTGTGAGTTTTAACTGCTGAATATAGAAAATAATTAGTAATGGTATTCTTTCAATTATATTTTCTATCTTCTTCAAAGCTCATATGAGCTTTGAGTATGTCAACGGTAGCTTTTTACAAAAAAATAAATAAATTTATTTGAAAATGTCTAGATAATTTCTTTACCATTAGAAAAAGAGTTTTTTTCAAGTTCGATCCAACCATTTATGTGTCTTGTAGATTCTGTCCATGTTGGCATTTACATTTTATGACATTTCATTTTACACCATACCTATATTTAGATACTAAATTGTTATTATTTTTTTACTTTTTTTTTTGTGAATTGATTTAATTAAATATACAAGATAAGCATAAATATATTTTATAAAAATTTATATCATTAAAAAGTAATTATCAAAAATATTTCAAAATGACACGGTATCAAAGTTTTAAAAGCATTGTAGTTATATAATATTTTATTTGTTTTTTATTTATCTAAATATTAATAGAAGTTAATGTTACTTTTTATATGATATTTTATTGTTTTTTTTATTTACATAGATATCAATGGAAATTAATGTTATTTTTAAAAAATATGACTAATGCTTAAAAATGATATATTATATTAGCAAACATGGTTTAGAATGTCAATGACCTTCTTTAATCTCCTTCACCGTACAAGTATCTGAATCAATGTTGTCAAAATCACGGTTTTGATCGTAGGATTATACATCCTAGAATGAAAAACGATTTGGATCGTATACGGATCGTAATTGGTATAGGATCGCAGGTAAGATTGTAGAATCGCAGATAGGAACGGGATCCGATCCCATCTTCCTTGATTTTTTTTTTTAAATGAACAAAATAAATTCACCACTTTATCTCTTTTACCCTTTTATCGGTTTACAGTTTTATCATTTTGTGTTGTGAGTTGTGACTAATGTTTTGAAGTTTTTATAGTTTTTGAACGGAAAAATGAATGTTTGAGATATTTTTCATGTTTTAAAATTATTAATTGAAATTATATTTTATTTTGTGGGATCTTAAGATCCCGATCCCGATCTTGCAAACCCAAAAACGATCCTACCTAGGATCTCAATCATGACAACTTTGATCCGAATTAGATAATATGTTTTCCATACATTTTCAATTCCAAAAATATACCAAAATATAATCACATCCCTACCCACCCATTCACCCGCACCCTATCCCCAACCCACACATACCCAACCTCCCTATATATATATATATATATATATATATATATATATATATATATATATATATATATATATATATATATATATATATATCTGTTTTGAACATCATAAAATAGACATTTGGTGTTTTAAAAAACACTTCAAAAAACTAAACTATTAGTTGAGACGTCGAAAATGTTTATTTTGCATGCATTTTGTGCATTGCATAATTACATAAGGATGGAGGATATGGTGGACACTTTATTCACTATATATGGTGATGAAAGTCTTCAAATATCTCGAAGAATGTTTGAACGTGGTGCAAGAGGATTTTCTTTTGGATATACTAATCAAGATGAAAGGCTTCAAGTTAGAGATTCAACTATTAATACGTTATGGGAAAACTATATCGTCAAAGGCATTTGCAATCTTCATGTCATTAAAATAGTAAAACTTATCTTATTATAAATGTTTTGTTTTATGTTTACTTATGTATTGACTGATACGTTGAATTTTATTTTGATTCTTATTAAAAGATGGTAAAAACCAACATGACACTTGAACCCAACCTGAAATAAACGGATTTTAGCAAGAGTTTCAACCCGTTTAATCAAACAGGTTGACATAAGCCAACATGAAATATAAACATGTGACATTTTGAATTTCACCTAAAAATAACTCAATTGGTTTGTATTTTCCAATTTTTATTATTTCTAATATTACAATATTTGAGTGTAGGTGGGTGGGTGTGATAGTTGTATGGAGATGTGAGTTATGAATGAGCTTTTAAACCGGAAAACTGGACCAGACCAGTTGAAACTAATAACTGGTATTTGATATGTGATTCTCATTTCCTCCAATTCATCATTTTTGGTTTAAACTAATAAATGGTATTTGATATGTGATTCTCATTTCCTCCAATTCATCATTTTTGGTTTTTTGTTATTTCATTTCGGGTCAATTCCAATACCAAACACCTTCTTAGATAGAACACTTCCTAATAAATGAAACCTTACTCGGTTGGAACCGGTTAGCAGCTATTTCTCAGTTTTCAATTCACTCTTTATTGGTTTTTGGTTATTGCGGATCCAGTCTAGTTTAGGACCGGTTTACATTCCTAGATTTAGTGGGGTGAATGTGTAGCCGTGTGGGGGTGTGTTTTGGGGTAGGAGGGTTTGTAGTTCATAAATTGTTTAGAATTGAAAAAATATGTAAAACATCAATTATCAATTTTTCATGTTATACGTAATTTAAGAACTTAATTGAGACTTCTGTTTTCTAAACAAATATTTATAAAAAGATAGAGCTAAACATGTTTTCTAACATTGTACTTTAGTTAGAAAATGTTTTTTAAAATTTAAAAAGTCTTCCACCATCAAAACATACCCTTGATTTCTCATTTTTAAGCATGCACCATAATTATTAACAATTGTCCCCCCATTTGATTATCCTTTAACACATGGACAACTCTCTTTTACATATGTTTAGTTCAAGCATATCAAGATTTTAGTTGTTCTCATTTTTTTGAGGAGTATTTTCATACAATAGAGTTTAAAATTTATTTATCTTCTACATCAATGTCGATTTTACATCAACCTAATGGAATTTTTGTATTATAATGCATCTTTTTCAGTAAGCTCAAGACTAATATCACTGTGAATAATTACAATGCATGTCTTGCACTAACTTCACTAAGCAAATAATGAATTTAAACCTTCTTTGAAAAGATAAATTATATTTATTTGAAAAGATAAAATTAACGAATATGTCTTGAAGAACATGGTGTTGTTCTTTGCAACAGATGGCATTGTCATAGCACAAATCTATATACGCCTACCAATAAAACCACAAAATGAAATCTAAAATCACCTATAAAATAGCACAAATCAAAATCAACGACCAAAGCATTCAAACTTAAATTTAAACGTCATAAATGATACCTCAAATTCATTCAAAAAGTAGATGATGATGATGATGATCCTAGATGCAACATTTGGTTTAAAAGGTCTAAATACATCATAACAAAAATCAAATTACTAAGGTGATGTAAAGAAACCAACTTACTGCTTCATTTCAATGGAATAAACCTGGAAGAGTGTGTAGCACCAATACCGGGTCTTCCATGCTTAACTGGCTTGTATGAAATTGAAAACTCAGCCAGGTAATGACCAATCATCTCCGGCTTAATTTCAATCTGATTGAATGTCTTCCCGTTGTAAACTCCGACAACGCTTCCGATCATCTCTGGTACAATGATCATG